TCTTTTAACAGATAAAGTCCCAAACAATACTGTATTATTGAACAACAATAAAATTTTTCAAATTACAAACATTTATATTCCACATAATGAAGACGAACAGTCAATAGAAATAATCGGAATTATTTTACAAAAAATTGAACCTCTATATTTGTACCCGTGTAATGCTAAAATAATGAAAATGTGGCGAGTCTCAAGAAAACATTCGAGTATTACAACATATAAATTGTTCGATATACAATTAAAGATGCTGTTGATTAACCTAAGTAACGAAAGAGAAGAAAAAATGTACGTGTTACCCTTGCTTCATATGTAACACGTAATTGTTTTAAAGGAAAATTAAAAAATTTGTATTGCATAAAAGTGATTAATATTTATTTAACGTCCACAACAGAAAATATTTTTTAGTGAGAATATGTACAATTAAGATTTTATAGAAAAAAAAATTGTAAATATTATGAACTGTTTGATTTTATTTTCTTCGTGACTGCTATGAAGCATGATAAGCTACGTTCCTGAGATTATTTGGACTTTCTCATAAACAGAGACAAAAACAAACAATGCTCGCAGGCGTCGCGCCGCGGCGGCGTTGCCACTGAGTATAGAACGTGATCAAACGTGTCTTTTATCGAGGCAACTGCACGTCGCGCGAGCGTTATAACCTCTTTTTTAGTGATTTCTAAATTTTGTAAAAAGGATATATGTAAGTACACTTAACATTTCAATCTTAATAGGAAATTATTGTAAATGGATAATTTTTTGATTCTTGCATAGTACTGTGTGTTATACGATATCCAGTTAAAATGGAATACAAGTATCGGCTAGTTGTGTTTGTAAATAAGAAAAAAACGAAAGAAATTGAAATAGTCCCCTCATCATGGATTTATAGCGATAAACTTTCAAGTACATTGCTCTGCAAATTTATGCCAGGACCTTATAATAATGAGAAAATTAACAAATTAGTATACATGGTGAAAAACGGTTTACTTCCGGAAGATCAATGGCCCAGTTATCCTATAGAATTAAAAGGAAGAGCATGTAAATAACATTTTTTGTGTTGTTAAACATTATTTTTATTTATTGAAAAAATTAACTAAGCTTTTAACTTTGAAATTCTTTTCTGATAATTTTTATAGATACTTATGAGGATGCTGAGAAGAAAGCAATTATTTTAGAAAAAGAACCTTATGTATATTCTACAGATAATGAGGACAGAGCAAAACAAAAAGCTAATCAAGATAAAAAGTATTTTCAGTTTAAGTCAGTTTCACAGGAATCTGTCTCTCAACAACTTGACGAAAGTCATTTCGACATTAATTCCGATATTATACAAAACATTCGTAAGTAA